ACAAAGTAACCAGGGGAATTTGAAGCCTGTGGCACATTGAGGAAAATGATAGCAACAACGAAAGCCAAAGCCAACTCAACTCCTGGCTAGACCAACCAACCCTTCCCTTGCCCCACGGAAAGCCTTGCAAAAGACAAGATGGACCCATGTGCAGGCACAAATGATTTACCTCAGTCTCTACTGTCCTAAACTAGGTATTCAACTTCTAACAAAACAACAACAAGGCATACAGAAAGCAAGAAAGAAAATAACCCACTGTGGTGCATCCACACAATGGAGTATTGTTACTCAGCAGTACGGAAGAACTACCAGTACATGCGACAACATGGAGGAATCTCAAATGCAAATGCATACATGAAGAAAGCCAGATTAAAAATGCTACATACTGTCTCACTGCATTCATATGACATTCTAGAAAAGGCAAAACTTTAAGAACTGAAAATAGATCGGTGGTTGTCAGAGGCTAAAGATAGAAGAAGTTGACTACAAAGGAGCACAAGGGAATTTTTGGAGTGATGAGGTATTTCCTAATTTCTTGATTGTGCTGGTGGTTACATAGCTCTTTGTGTGTGCCAGAACTCTCAGAATTGTACACTAAAATGGATGAATTTTATTGCATGTAAATTATAGCTAACTTTTTTTAAGTGAAGAAAAAAAAATCACATGTTTTTAAAGACATTTCAAGCTACCTCATTTGAGAATTAACTGGGCTTTCTTAACTCTTTCTATCCAAGACACCTTAGTGACCTTTCATCCAAACCAAAAGTACATTGACTTTATTGAAAATAAAAATGACTTACAGTATGGGCAAGATCCAAAATGAGTCTTCAGTGTCTGACTCTCGTAAGCATTCCAAGGCTCTCTATTCTACAGGGGAAGGGTTGGACTTTGTACCTGCACTGCTTCCACACTTGAACCAATACAAAGTTTAGTATCTTTCTAATCTCCTACTGGAAAGCTGGGATTAATAGATTGTGCAAGGGAAAATACGACAGAATTGTTTAAATTTGTCCATCTTCAGCCTTCTTTCTGATCTACAATAAGAGGTACTTTCACGCAAGAAAAGTGAGAGAGAGAGAGAGTAATGTCAACAGGAAAGGATGGAAAATGGTGTTCAAGCATCAAAACCAAACCAGATACTAAAAAATAATCATTGCTATATCATATAAAATATGCTTTGACTTCAATTTCAAAATGTCTAGGATTTCCTAGTATTAGTTACATGTCCCCTTGGTAATACAATAAAATTTTTTTGAATAAAAAGTTTCTACTTATTCAAAGGAGTTAACAAAGGATCATAATTCACCCACCAAGTATCTGAATGCCGGCTACATACTAATCATTGCTTAGGCAATGATTAAGCATTGTTTAGTATCCAAAGCTGAACAAACAAAATAATACCAGCAAAATACTGTTTTTAAGGATATAGCACACTTCCGTTTTCTGTTTTTTATTATTTATTTTTAAATAGAGTATATTTACCTCAAAGCCAAGTCTATCCTTTTCTTTCCAAAAACAAAAATGTGTTACTTTCTTATCCCAGAATTCATCTGGCTTCACCACACAAACTAGGGACACCTCAGCTGGAACAACATTCTATAAAATACAGAAAAATAATGAATTTATACATTTAAAATGAATAATTTATCAAAGTTATAAATTACTAGATATTCATGATTAGGCTGAGTAATTAAGAGACCTATGGAAAATAATTAAAATAATGAAGTAGAAGAAAATACTCCAAACCTCAAAACATACATGGCAATAAAGAAATACTTGAAAGACAAGGTGATTTAGAAAAGATTTCAAGTAATCAATGTAATATAGGTAGTAGATGTGAATTATTTTTCTGTTTTACTGAATCTCTCTAACAGCAACATATATAAACTGAAAGACAATTGTTATTTGAATAATTATTAAATTTGGCTTTTCTGTTATGAAGAAAAAGTTTTCTAACATAATCATCTTGGAGAAATTCTTCCAATAATGTAAAACTAATTCTCTCACAAAATAAGTTTCTTATTGGCCATTATACAAAGAAGCCAAGATTCTGCATAATTACTAACTTTAAGAAGAGGACAAAGCTAATCTTTGACAAACACAATTTCACATTTACTAGATATGGTTATTCATATTACCTAAAGAATGAAAATTAACATTTATTGTGCTAATAAATATTCCATGTATATTTTACATGAGCCCCTTAATCTATCTTTATTATATATCTTAAATTTGCCCATTTTTATTACCTGTATTGCTAATATTCCAAAATAGTCAGCCTTTTGAAATATCCTCTTAACAGGCCTCCCTGCTTCATATTTTCTCATGCTCAGAATAAAAGTCAACCCCTTACTGAGGCCTAGAATAAAGCCCTCCAAGTAAATGTGAAATTGTATTTGTCACAGGTTATTTTGTCCCCTCTTAGCTCCCTCCTCTACCACAGCTATGCTGACTGTCTTGCTGCTCCTGGGATGTAAAAAGTCTGTTCCCACCTCAGGATTTGCCCTTGATATTTCCTTTGTCTGGGATGTTCTTTGCCCTATACTAAGAGTGCTCTCTCAGTTTATTAGCATTCTACTCAAATACTCCCTCTTCACAGGCCTTCCCTGAACACCCTATCTAATAATAATAAACTATGTAATTATAATAATTATTATTAGAGAAAAATAGAAAACCTTTTTATTCAAAATGTCATTGGGCACATCACAAATCTAGTGTCCCCTGCAATGACTGGGCTGTGAATAAGATAAGTAAAATAAATTCAACAGTATCAAAACCTTTATCAGGGTAGATCGAGGTTTATTCATATATTGACTTGTGAAAGATTATTATTTCAAAATCATTAAATATTAATGCTGTGCAAAACAAGAGAAACCAAACCACCCATTTTAGAGAGTTATTAGTTATAGGCAGAGCCGGCATTAAGCTCTGGGCTCCCAAACAACTGGTACCAGCACCTTTTGAAATAAAAGGAGTGAATGACTTTGTAGGTAGAAACTGTTTCACTAGGAGTAAACAACAGTCCATTGCAACTTCTGAAAATGTTATTAATAAATCCAAAAGTTGTTAAAATACCTATCAGAAAAGAAATCGCAAGAGGGGATTAAACCATCCATTGATTGTTCTTCAAAACTGCCACTGATCAAAGTCCAGTTCAAACAGCAAGTCCCAAACAGCTCATCTGTGACACAGTTGAATGACAGGATGAAAGGAAGAACACAAGGTCATAATTAATGGATTTCTCACCTAATAGTTATTTTAACAACTTTTACAGAGAAGAGTTATCTCCAGGGTTTGGAATATAAATTGCTGGGTATATGTTAGACAGAAAGTTATTAGGGGACATCAATCTGTGCTCCCTTAAACACTGATCCTCTGGAGACGATGTCCTTTTCAACCCAAAGGAGTGATTCCAACGATGAAGGTTTAGAACAGTTAAGAATGCAGTAATGGGTAGATAATTTGGGGACCGCCTCAGGTACATCCCACTGGTAAATACACACTTTGGAAAGGACAAAGCCAATACCTGGGCTTGGGCTGTACTAAGTTCCAATCAGGGCTCTTTCCCACAGTCACTAGGAGAACGTGGCTAAGTTATTTAAAACCCCTGAGCCTCGTCAACTTTTAGGGGTAACAGAACCTGCTTCTCAAGATTGTGAGGATAAAATTAAAGGAGATAATTTATACAGCAAGCTCAGCACAGGACTCGAACCCTATTACACACTAAAACTAAAAATATAAATTGCCAGTTCCCACCCACTGAATCCTTTTCTAATTACCCAAATAAAAGATATGAAATTCAGAGTCATTCTCCTTAGTTATCATTTGAAATTTTTAGTTATATTCCTTTCCACAAAACTCTGAAGCAGCTACCAATTACTTCCCAATCCACTTAAAATTCTTGATCTTTCTTTCAATATCACTGATATTTACCTAACTGAATGTTCACTATCCCATGTAACTGCCAACTTTTATTTCCACCAAGCTGGCCTGCCATCAACTCCCTTCAGGGTATTTGCTTCTTTTTTGAGCTATCACTAAGTCAGTTTCCCTGCCAGAATGCCCTTTTCACTTTCTTTCATATCATCTCTTTTGTTTAACTCACATAACTTTTACCTTCTCTAGAAGCCCTTCTGAGGAAACCCAGGTACATAAGAGTAATCTGACCCCTTTCAATCACCTAAATGTTTTATTTTTCGATTTCAGATCACAATATCCTCAATACCCTTATAATATATCAACAAATGTTTACTAAGCACCTACTACATGCAAGGGATTAAGGAAACACTCTGTGAGGAACACAAGGAGATATAAAACACAAGACTAGAATCAGATCAGGGACTGTGTAATTGCAGCTGTTTATTAAACCCTAACTGGTGAGCTGCTCAAGTCCACAGGGATGCAGCTGTTAAGTAATTACTTCCGGATTAATAATAAATAATAAGACATCTTGAGTCCTGGTGCTTTGGGAAGGGACGAGAGGGACAGAAGAGGGAGACCTGTCCAAGCCGCCTGAGAAGCATTTTCAGACTAGACGTACCCAGTCCTGCTTCCTACCTGTAGTATCAGTGAGTCTGATCAAGTGAGCCCTCACATTTTAGACTCACTGGCCTACTTGCTTAAATTACTTAAGCATGACAGTATTTTCGATTATTTACAAACCTTTAAAACAGGGCTGAAATTTATTTTACTACTTAAAAATCAAACCTACAAGAGTTGAATTAATATATCAGTCCAACAGTGAGATGTGCACTTCAAAGCTCAGTCATTGCTGAGAAGGTTGGGCACAGTCCAATAAATGAAATACATTTGCCATTATCACCTCATCTGTTGCTGTAAAGTGATTTCATGATAGTCAAAAATAAAATTACCTGTAGCATTAAGACTACTGTTTTCACCACATTCCACTGTGATTTTCTGCCATCCACAATCACGGTAAATCCTCTAGCCTTACACTTTTCACTGAAACGAAACAAAACTACAAATATTAAAACAAGCTTCATATTTTATTCTTCATAAACCTAAATAAAGTTTACATCTTAATCATATACGATGCAGCATTAATCTCACTTGGTTTGGTTTGCACTGTCAATAAATAAAATTCTTCAGAGTATCCTTTCAGTTTTCCCAAGCTATTTACTTATTTCAAAAAATATTGAGAATTTACAAGCTAATTTGGCAAGAAAATTACTCTAAAAGCATGGCAGTCACTGTCTCAGAAAGAGAAGAAATCAAAGCAACATTCAAATAGTGTCACTACTCTCTCAACTTCTTCGTCTGTAAAACGGGGTCACAGAGAAGTCAGTAACTAATTACTGCCTAATGTGTGTGTACGTCCTGTCTCTTCTTTCTGCCAGAAGCATAAGCTTAAGGCTTGTAAAGTAATAGTATAAAACAGGTAGAAAATAAAGTAAGCTATTATTAAACCACTGGAAATGGGCTTATATTCTTGCAGGGAAATTTAATGAAATGAGGCAGCATTTGGTGCATACAATAATTCACAGCTTGAATACACAAAGTCTGACCCACCTCTGCTCTCATTTTTGCATTTTCAGTCACTTGACCAGGAAAACATTATCTTGAGTATTGAAAAATGCTATATATTATTGTTATATATTATATTTAATCATTCGAGTATTGACTAAACACTTCCCAGAAGCCTAGTAAAATGTAACAACTACATGAACAAACTCCATCCTAAAGACCAAAACTACATAGCTTTATTATTATTATTGTTTTCTTATCAAATTCATTTGATGCAAGGATCTCAATTGCCCTCCCTCCACAGTGGAAGAAACTACAGCTATATAGGGCAAGGATTTGATAGTGAAACTGCTCCCCACTCAAAGTTCTCCCAATTGTATACATTAGAAGAAAGATAAACAGCAGATCCTTCCCTGAGATTTAAATTCAACAGTCTAGGAGATTTTACCAACCCTCCCCTACTCCCTCCAAGAATTCACATGAGCCTCAAGAGGGTTCTTGCAGAAGTGATGTCCAATTCTACTGAAAAACAGTGGGGTCACAAGAGTGAGGATGACTTAGAAGACCAGGCTAAAGATTTAGAAGAACCTCTGTAGGCAGGGACAAAAACTGAGCTTCCAAAAAAAAGAGAGAAGTGTTCAAAAGGTGAGGCAAATTGAATATGTCCATATAAAAAACTTGCACACAATGTTCACAAAAGCAAAATTCACAATAGCCAAAAGTAGAAACAACCAAATGCTTATCAGCTGATAAATGGAAAAACAAAATGTGGTAATCCATATAATGGAATATTATTCAACCATAATAATAAAGTACTGATACATGCAATAATATGGATAAACCATAAAACTATTATGCTAAATGAAAGAAGCCAGACATAAAAGCCCACATATTGTATGATTCCATTTATATGAAATGTCCAGAATGGGCAAATCCATAGACAGAAAGCAGATTAGTGGCTGCCATGGGCTGGAAGGAGGGGAGAATAGGAAATGACTACTAATGAGTATAGGGTTTCTTTTGGGGCTGATAAAAATGTTCTGAAATTAGCAAGTGTCATGGTTGCACAACATTGTGAATATACTGAAAACCACCAAATCTTACACTTTCAAATGTGATGTTTATGGTATGTGACTTATATCTCGATAAAAAAAATGTTGAAGTATTCTATTTTTGCATTACAAAATAAAAGACCCACTAAGTATTCTTTGGGGAGAAAAAGTTAGTCATACAATGAGCACTTCTGGATTGGCAACAGCATGTCAAGGCTTGCTGGGGGGACCAAATCTGACATCTAACTGCTGGATGGGGGATCAGGTAAGGAGAAAATTCCTGGAGTTCCCAACCAACAAGACATTTAGGAAGACCACTACGACTCAGGGAGGGCACAAGCCCAAGAGACCAGCCTAGACAGGGTAACTGGCTGTTGAATAGTCTTCAGAGAAGTGGCAGCAACTCAGGGCCTTCCAATGCATTATGGGAGTTTGCAGGAGGGAGAGCTAAAACAGTGCCGCCCAGTGGAGGGCCTTCCCTGGCTAGGCCTAGAGCCAAGAAAAGTATGCCACCCCCATAACGTAGTACTTCCTTGTCACTGGCATCTGCATGTGTGAGGTACAGGTTACACAACCCTTTTGTTAAAGAAGTTTTACAAAAACAAAGCATTTATATTTCAAAGCACATTCTAAATTAATCTGTATATTAAGACTAAGAACGTAATGAAGCTTGCAAATACCATCTGCAGTGATCTTAAGGGCATAAAATACTCTAAATTTATCTTTTAGGGTTCTTAAAAACACCCTTAATCATAATTTTCTCACATTTTACTAAGACAGATAATGAAAATACCCACAATCCAAAGACACTATTTGTGAATTGTGATCTTTCTATTACTTGAAAGGAATAATTTTTATTTTTTTACTTCTTTCCTACAAATGAAGTGATGGTGTAAATTATTTTTAACAACATACTTAATTTAGAAGCATGTTATGTCCTTTACAGAGGGGAATGCTGGAGGAGCTGAAGTGCTATATTAATAAATTCCTATACTACCATTAACATGTTTATATTTTAAAACCACAACCAAAAATATCTTTTAAAACCCTAACTCCCTGTTCCTACTCTGTTAAGAGCCTTTCAAGGGTGAGGTGACTGAGTTAAAACATTAAAAAAAAAAAAAAAAAAGAGGCCCCTTAACAAAATCACTCACTGTGACCAGGAAGAGCTTGCCAATGGGTTCAGCGTTCTATAGTGCTTCACTAACTTCTTTGATTATAACTAAGGGTTCCTTCTCTTCCACTCATATAGCTCGGCTTATAGTTTTATACTGGCAGTCATTTCACTTATGCTTTTATTATAATTACTTGTTTGCAATTTATCTTCATTAGAAAACATGCTTCCAGAAAGCAATATTATCGTACTGACACCTTGGCAGCTTCGAAGCTTCTAGCTCTGTGCTTTAAATACAGAGGGCCTTTAAAAATGTTAGATGACATAATCACATCACTCCTCAACCAGAATGCAAGAATGGCTTTCCTCCTCGTTCAGAATTGAAGCAGTTACCATGGCCTGCAAGGTCCTCCATGATCTGACTCCAGACTCTCTCTCTGACGGCTCTAACTCCTTCCCTCTCTCAAACTGCTCCGACCACACCAGCCTACTAGCCAATCCCACATCATGCTGAGCCTGTTCCTGCCTCAGGGCCTTTGCACTTACTGCTCCCTCTGTCTTAAATGCTCTTTCTTAAATGCTCTTTCATCAGGTATCTGTAGGGCCTGCTCCTCACTTCAATCATGTCTAGTAAAATATTACCTTATCATTTTGTAAAATATTGCCACAACCCCCTTCCCAACCTATCACTCTCTTAACTCTTTTCACACTCTGTTTTCATAGCACTCAAGAGCGTCCAATACACTGTGTACTTATTTGCAGTATTCGTTTGACCATTAGGAAATAAGGCCCATAAGGGCAGGGACTGGGTCTGCTTTGTTCACCCATTTCCTCAGCACCTAGAACAACAAGGAGCTCACTGTAGGACATCACATACAGATTTACTGAGTGACCAAAGACTTATGACCTTAATGTCTGTGTGATTTTTGGCAAGTCATTAAACCTCTGTGTTCTGATGTTTCTTCTAGAACATAAATGACTTCTTTTACAATTAGGAATAACTGGCTTAAAATCCAAATTTGAATTAAAAAAAATTTCAAAACTTGAGAAAAATGGGAAGGTAACTTCTGTAGTTGCTGGACCTCTACAAAATCAAGAATAATCTGTAGATTTTTTTCAAAATTCTAATGCCTGGGGTCCACCTCCGAAGACTGTGATCCAGTTGTTTCGGGGAGGCCTACTCATCAGACTTCAGCCCCCAAATATTTATATGGGAGAGGAAGTTGGGGAGGGAGGTTTTTTGTTTTTACTGTTGCTGTTAAGTGGTGGGTAGGCTCGAGCAAACAGAAAGGTTTAAGTCTTGTCTTCACCCAAGAAATATAAAAATTAAAAACACAAGAACCTCTGAATTAAAATATGCATTTTTGCATTTTTTAAAATAAAAATGTTTTAAACTCCTAACAGCCTTCACTCACTATATTAAAACCTACTGATGTATTTATAGCTCTTTAGTGAAATTGCTAACTAAATAAAAGATGTTTTTCTGCTGAATTCACTTCTCTAAGTTTTCTCAAGTTGCATGATATATAGATGCTCAATCTTTGTGTTGCTTGAAAGTTGACAGTACATACTTTTTGGAAATCTATATCATATTATTTAGTGCATCAAGAACATAAAATAAGCATTTTATCTGCTGTGGTATCACAAATTATTGATCCTGGTATTTTTAACTATAATTTCACTGCTAATAAAAAGAGATAATATAGCAAAGTGTTTTTTAACAATAGCAAGAATCATTAGTAGTGAATGAAAACATACTGAGATTTAAGAAAAGACACCTTAGAGTCACCTTGGAATGCTGAGCAGGTAGTCTAAGGTGACACTCAGCTCATCCATATTTGTCTGTTCCAAGCATAATGGAATTGTCAGAATGAGGCCACTTCGTCTGTCCTTCCCTCCTATTAAGGAAAAAATAAATTTAACATGTAACAGATATTAAAGCACTAAATGACTATATATTTGGAGCCAATGTTACTGAAACAATTACAAGTTTAAGACATCAAGGAACAATCTAATGGCTGTTTATTTTATGTATTATAAATGATTATAGTAATATAGCAAAATTGTGTAATATTTAGAAAAAAATAAGAGTAAAAAAATTCACCCATGAAACCTTCACTTAAACATAGCAATTACCATTTTGTTTATTCTTTTTCCATTTAGTCTGCTTAACATAATCAATTCATCAAACATCTATTGTGTGCCTACCACAATAAGCATTTACAAGTAAAATTTAAAAAAATTTTAATCAACCTAAGAAGAAAAGCTTTACACTGTAAAAAATACCCGTTTGAAACATGACAGTTTATTTGCTAGGCTATGTTGTACAAAATATATAAAACATTATAAAAAGGGATTAAGAAAATGGAGCAAATGATAAGAGCTGTGATAAATGTGGAAAGTTTCCTAAAAAAGTTAAGACTTAAGAAAATGAGTAGAATTCATAAACCAAGTCAAAAGAGCATTCTGTGACAAGTAACAATCTAAGTGAACTCACAAAGGCCAGCTAGGCATTCTTTGTTTATGAGAGCCCTGCCCAGCTGAGAAGACGTATGGGATCTGGATATACATGTGGAAGCCTGAAAGCTAGGTGGTGGAACGAACTTACATTTCATGTATGTTCAGGCCCTCTTCAATTTTCCATAAGCATTAAAATGTACCAATACTTTTACATACACACATAGCATCTTTGAAAGTTCCCCACATGACTGACTTTGACACTGAAGCCCATCTTCTGGCCCAACTGATATTTATAGCTGTTTTAGAAGAAGCTTAAAAACCAGCAAATACTAAAGGAAACAATTCTTTATGATCTAAAAGGCATGAAGTGAAAAACAACTCCTATGAGTCACATGAACACAATTCATGATGTACCAACCATATATGATCTCCTTTTATCAAGTTAACCATATAAATTACTGAGATTCAACTACGTTGCTTAACCTCAATAAATGGAAATTTCAAATGGTTCAACTTAATAGACTTAAACTGTATATGTTTTTTTGTTTCAAATACAGGTTTTATTAAAAAAAAAAAAAGAAGAAAGATTGCACCCTTGGTTTTCAAACTGTATCCTCTGAATGACTGTTGGTCTGAAAAGTTTTTCTCTATTATTCAAAAAGTTTGAAAATTACTGGTTAAAATAACTGCCACTCTATATAGGAAGTCAAGAGTGGTGGACTAAAAGATGTTTCATTTGCTCCTCAAAAAAACATTATGCTTTACCCCTGCATTTAACCAAATCCGAAAAAAGGCTCTCATATCTGAACTGGGGCATTCTGACCCACTGTTAAATTGTGTTCAGAGGGCAGGTCTCACATTCAGAACTACATTTAACCTCATATCCTCAATTTTCACTAAAAAGCAATAAAATAATCACCATTAGAAACACAAAAGAGGGCAGAAGCCAATAGGAAAGTGACTTTCAAGACAGGTATGGTCAACAGGGTCAAATGCTGCATAAAGACAAGTGCCATAAGAACACAAAAATGTCAGTAATAAAGATTATAAAAGAATAATAATATCCACTCTCCGTAACACTGCAGGCAAATAGGCATTTTGAAACAATATTCTTAAAGGGCAATCTATAAAACCTAACACAAATTTAGATATAAATTCTCTTTAACACTTCCACTTATAGAAATACATACTGTTGAACTTGTACAAAATGCACAAACTGTGAATAAGAATGTTTCCTAAAATACCAATCATATCAGAAAACAATGGAAAAAAACGTAAGTATCAGCTGGTAAGGGAAGTTTTTTAAAAAAAGGAAAACACATTAAACATGGAAACAATGATGCTAGTGGACAATATCTTATTTGTCCTTTATAATCTACACTAGAAAAACATGCCAATTTACAGAGAGAGATATAATATACTTTGAAAAAAAGGACATTCACAGCCTAAATATCAAGACAATTCTGATAGGACCTTCTGATAGGACCTAAAGAGAATAAGAAAAAAAAAAAAATCAAGATACTAAAATCCAAATAATCCTCAACAGGTGGGCCACAGTACCTATTCTAAAGCATGTGAAAATTTACTCAGTGATCCAAAATTTCAGAAAATCGCCACACACAATGTACCATACCACTGCTCTCACACTAGTAAAATCTCTCGCAGCATCTCTCTGGCTCTTGTTAGCTGACATCGATTTTGGGCTCATAACTGAAGGTAAATTCAAGCCTGTATAACTGAGTTCAAACGGTAAAACCTGAAAACCATGTAACTGGCATTTCATAACTCTTCCAGCACACTGAAACTTTCTCAGAGGAAGACAGCAGACAAAAGCTAGAAAGACAAAAGCTAGGATGCTTTTGAAGACAAAAGCTAGGATGCTTTTTCTTCAAAAACTAATCATAAAAACGAATTACTCTATATTTCAGAAACAACTATTTAGATGTCGGTTAGTTAGTTCATTATTCTTGGCCTGTGTTATTTCATTTTTATATAAGAAGTGAGACATCATGGCATCTACCTTGTGGAGGTCATTTAACCAAATTACAGAACAGAATAAAAACTGGCCTATCAAGAAACAACAGAGGCAGAGCTGGCTCACCCAGCTATCCATTCTGATTAAAAGGTGTCTCAGAAGTAACTTTGAAACAAAACCTTCATAGAAAAATGAAATGCATTTCTGTCAAATTTTTTTTTAAAGTTTAAACAAATTTACACATCAAACAATCCTAATTTTAAGGAGAAAACATACCTGAAAGGAAGGCTAGTTTTTTCTTCAGAATGGGTAATATTACTGAGGCCTCCATTTTACTCCAGTAAACTTCCGCACTTCTGAAAACAAAGAAAGTTAAATGTCAACTACAAGATGATAATTACCCTATGAAATATATACTTATGGTGGCTTATACCAGGCTCTCTCAATCTCAGCATTGCATACATTTTGAGTCAGATTTTTTTTTTTTAAGGAGCTGTCCTGTGCATTGTGTAATATTTAGCAGCATCCCTGGCCTTTCTCCATTAAAGTAGCACTCCCCCTTTCCAGTTGTGACAACCACAATGTCTCCAGACATTGTCAAACATCCTCTGGCAGGCAAAATCACAGCCAGCTGAGAATCACTGGCTTAACTGCTTTTCAAAGCAATACTCTCGGGCTAGAACAGTGCCTGGTACATGACAATAACTCAATAAACTATTTATTGAATAAAGGAATGAATAATTAATCAATCAAATAGGTAATCTACTCTCTATTGCTCTCCTTATTAATTATACAGCTTGATTCCAAGTATCTGATTCTTTCAGTTCCACTATTAAATGGCTTTCTCTGACTTCTCGTAAATTTTGCTTCTCCATAAAACATGGTAACACATCTGTTCATGTTTACCATATCTTTTTCTTTATTTTTTGTTTTATTTTTTATTTTTATTAGTTTCAGATGTACAAAACAAGGTACTAGACATTTACACCCCTCACAAAGTGATAACCCACTCCCCCAATCTACTACCCCTCTGACATCTCTTAATACACTGTTTCAATTTTTGCCCCCACTGTTAACTGTCTCCATCACTCCACATTTTGTACTTTTAAATTCTTCAAGGAACAAATATGATTAGCCCAGTTGATCTTAGCCCAGGCCATACTTCAATATTCTTGTTTTGGTTTCCTAGTGTCCCGTCGGCCACAGCCAGGGGTTAAGGCTAAATATGAAATGAGACTATCCATATAGTAACGGCTAATGGCAAGAGAGCGTCCCTTAAAAGGGAGTTGAGCATGGCAGGCACTGACCAGCCCTGTATACTACCAAAACAGGATTTCGAGAATAGCAGGACCTTTAAAACAAGAAAACCAAACGTTCAATTATATTATCCACTATACTTCGTTTTATGTTTTAGAGAGTATTCTCCAACATATTTTATTCCTCCTTTCCCGTCCCATTTCACACCCACCCACCATCATAATATATAGTGACAGTTCCTTGGAGTAAGTACACCATGAAATTGCAATGGTAATGAAGGCACACTTTTTTTTTTAACAGTCTCCTCTTTTTTTAATTGAGATATAATTAACATATTATTTTCAATATGTACAATATATTGATTTGATATTTGTATATAGTTCAAAGTGATCATTACAGTAAATCTAGTTAACATCTGTCACCATTCGTAGTTACAAAAAATTTTTCCTGTGATGAGAACATTTAAGACCTACTCTCTTAGCAACTTTCAAATATGCAATACAGTGTCAACTATAGTTGCCAGAAACCATACTCTTGAAAATAATTTTCTAGCAGAGTAGAAAATATGACTTTCTATATGAAAGCATATTACTTATTATGCAAACACTTACTATGAACCTATTTCATTTCAGGTACCGCGCTATCAGCTGGAGCTAAAAACTCAAGTCACAGCCCTGCCTTGAAAAAAAAAATGTAGTTTAAAAAAAAAATCCAAGATGTTAAGAAGAAAATGTAGTCTTAATATTTGTTAGACAATGACTAAATAAACAAAACTCCTTGAAGTATATATTTTACAGTTTTTGTGTATACAACTTAAAAAAAAGACCATTACTTGTACCTGTCTATAAAGAATACAACCTGTCAAACTAAATATGATATATTGTTGTCAACATATATACTTGAATATTTGTTTACAATTTATTCATTCATTTTTGTTCTACATCAGCCTGGGCTAGCATACGATCAGTAGGAAAAGCTCACATTTTACATTTTTAATCTAAAACCAGTAGCATTTCATGTTTCCAGATCAATATCTTGACCCGATGAGTTTGTTATTCAGCTCTACAAGAACCAAAATGATAAAAAAGTAATTTAAAGTAATGAGAAATATAGGTTTTGGGGTGTGTGGGTCAAGATCAAATGAACTGGTGGATAAAATATGAAGCTGGTAAGAGATGAAAGCTGTAATGTTTACTCTTTATATCTCCCTCCCGTCTCGAGTCTCTATCAATCTCTTTCACTGTTGTTATAAAAGCGATGGGTAATGAAAAATAATGGTTACTGTACCACTAGTAATTTTAGTTTTTTCAAACGTTAGCACAGCCATAAAACAAAACAAAAACAAATGTGCCTATCTCTGGTTGTCTTATGTTTATCATAAGTGGTAGTTAAAATAATGTACAAAACACACAAAAATAGGAAAAATGTTGCAAAATATAACCATCCACTACCATCACAAAATGTTAAAAACACAAAGGTACCAGTTTCTGGTATCTTCCAATGGGATAGATGCAGATCATTATTTCTCACAAGCAGCAGCTTATTCAATCTAAAATACATTTGAGTAGAATATATTCTCAAACAAGGAATGAGGCCAATGGCAGGAATTTACTTGACATGAAGTACTCAACACTGGCAAGGAAAATACATTTTTAAAAAAACGTGTAAGTGAAGCAGGCTAAGAAGTAGAAGAATTAAACAATTCACATGTTTAACAAAAACATGTCATATTTCATATATGGTCATTTAAAATTACTTACTTTAAGTCACAATTTATTAAATTTATTAAATATAAAAGAGGCAGAAAGCCAGAGTTTATAGCAGATAAGGTGCCTTGGAGACAAGTGAATATAAAGAAAAACATGCAGCCATCAATGCATGATACCTTCAACCCAAAACAAGAAATACCTAAGTAAATTAATATCATTCCTAGGTGTAAATTAAATCCTACCTAAAACAGAGCCCTCTGACAGGGATAAAATTGAGAACTAGAAACATAGGGAGACTAGGTTTCAACTGGTATTTGAATCCATCTTCAAATATCCTTCCAAAGATCTTGGAGTTAAAAGGAGGAAAATTGGGTCAACCAAGTAGTTACATTGTTATCTTGTCTTCCAAAGAGCAGAGAGCAAGTCTTACTTTACCCTTGTATTTATTCACTCATTCACTCATTTAAAAAATCCATAAGCACCTACTAGATCAAGGCAAGGTTAGGTGTGGAAATGCCTGGTATTCACAAAATATGATAAGTGGACAGATAAGTGAATGAACAAATGAACAAACATACGAAACAAACAGTAAAACAAAACACTTACCCCAGGAATCCTAACATTTTCACAGCTACCTAGATGTCAACACCTTGTGGTGTGATCACAGGATCACATGCATGCTTTTCCTTAAAAGCAGCTTCTTCCAGCTTCTTTCTACTGGGACAGCCTCCTACAGATCCAGCAGCTACATAAATTGCTGGATGCTAAGAGAAAGGCAGGCCCATGATGCTGGAAAGATGAACATCAATGGGTGCCATCAATCAACGGGGAGCAGGGGATATGTTGAGCAGCAGGATAAGAGAATTGTAGGCCTTTTAATCAGGACTGGGCAAATGAGCATTCGTAAGAGATTGTAATTGATGATATGAGTGGGTGTACTGGCACTCCTCTCTCAGCAAGTATAAATCAACCAGTTTATTTGGAAAATTTAGTTAGGTTCTTCAGAGCATTTATAACAACCAGTGAAAACCCATTAGGATAGCCTAAGGCTAACTAAATCATCTCTAATAAGTCGACATCATGTAAACACATAATGCAATGAGCAAAATCAGAATGTGGGCTTCTCAGCCTTTTATTTCCAGAAGAAATACTGTCCTTACATTCAGATTAGAAATACCTTCAAATGTTATGAAAAGCAATTTTAGAGACTAACACAAACAAATGAACACCTGTACTCCATATGGGACTCACTCGTTCCTAACTGGGTTCATCACTCTACACATCCATACATAAAATTACACAGAAAATAAAATGCTATTCGACTTCAAGATAATACACCAGTAAAGCATATCAAGAGTTGAAAATTTATGTAATTTTTCTGTTATTGCAGCTGCCAGTGTATGATTATTAATCTGGTTTTACAACAATATTGACAGTTCGAAATGGAAGATCAACAATCCTTTTGGATAGATTTTAAATGAAAGTGATAAAATAATGGTTAACTTTCACCATAGTATAGGCCTATCCAAAACTGTAATTCCTCTAAATACAATTCAAAGCTAAAGTATCACCATATAACACAATTTTTATGGACGGATCAGGATCTAGTTTATTCAGTGAGGGAGGGAGAAAAGAAGAAAGGGAAGACGAGAAAGACTGAGTTTTCTATGAAAATATCAATAATCTACCTCAAAAGAAAATTCTACATTAAGGAGTCTAGTAGGGCATTAAAAGTTTTATATTGTATTTAAACCTCAAAAATTCAAGTCTACTGCTATCGGTAATGGCAGACCACCACTTAAAAATCCTTTTCAAAAATTACATAATAAGCAGCTGCCCCTGCACTACCCTCCCGCCCTTCCCCTTCTCTGCAGGAACCACTGACACTGCTGTTTACAAAGTCAGAAGCACAGGGCAGTCAGTCGCCTTTTAAGGACTTCCTCACCCTTCTAGCTATTCTACCAAACTCTGAGCAGCTGCAAACCTCCACTGTAAAAGGTCCAGCTTCAAAAATCCCTTAATTGTATGAATTTTTCAAACCTTTGTCTCTTCTCATCTGGGTTAATTTATTGATAAGTCCTCAGGAGTTTGGCTGCTTCTTCACCAAAACTGGGACAGCAAAAAGAACATGGAATACTGTTTTAGAAACGTGAATCAGGCTTGTGGAATTCCAGGAAGGTAAAGGTATTTCTGGTATTCTCAGCTGTAGAGTACCTCATGGCTAGAACTTCTCTACTTGCTGTTAGAGCGCTCTGCAATAAGCTCGCCACCCGCATGGCTTCGGCATCTGGGTCTTGCACTGAACTCCAAGAAGCCTGGGCCACTTCCTTCTCCAGGGCAATAGATGCGTCCACTGAGCTCCCCTGGCTGGGTAGGTCTCCCTTCATCAG